GAGTAGATGAGCTTCCATCCCCAAAGAGTCTTATGTCTTCTTTCTTTCATTTTTTTTTTTTGGTACTGGGGATTGAACCCAAGGCTTTTACACTGAGCTACGTCTCCAGCTCCTTTGTAAATTAATTTTGCAATAAGAGCTTGCTAAATTGCCTTTGTTGTGCTCAAACTTGAGAGTCTCCTGCCTCAGACTCCCACAGTGCTGGCATTACAGGCATGTATCACCATGGCTGGTCCAAGTCTATGTATTTTCAGTGCATTTTATCAGTCTGGGAGCTTTCAGGAACTTTGAGTCATCTCTAGGGAGCAAAGAATAGCCACCACTTCCTCCAGAGAGACTTGAGACAATCCCTTAAGAATAGCTTGGGTTTCATCTCAGTTATCACATACAAGAACACATATTGGGAGATGTTAAGAGCTGTACAGTTGCAACATATTGTATATTGTTATTATTCGGAGGCACTCTCCAACATTCTAAGCAAGCATTCTTGAGAATTATTTTAAAATCACCTGTCTTTATAATCCTCATGATCATCCACATTAGTAACTAGAAACAAGTTCTCCCAGAGCATTCTCTTTCAGGGATGGAAGACAGGTGACTTGTGTGTCACCACTTCCTTCCCTCACACTGGTGCCAGAGATTGACAGTTGATCATGACACTCTCCTGCTGGGCCTGAATGCAGCCTTTTGATTTATTTGTTCAGCAAATATTTTGAGGGTTGTCTTAGTCTGTTTTCTGTTGCTGTAACAGAATACTAGAGACTAGATAATGTCTAGAGAAAAGAGGCTCATGTAACTCATGGTTCTATAAAGCAGGGAAATTCAAGATCAGTCAGTTACATCTGATGAGGGAGGACCTCAGGTGTCATCCTAATGAAACAGATGATCTCATATACAATGGTACCTTGGTTCACAATTTTGGAAAAGATGGTCATGTTTGTGTTCGTGCGGGAAAGATGGTCACAATCGTGTTCATCAATCACCCAGTGCAGAGTTCCAAACAAAAGCAAAATTTTTCCAAATGCTTCTGTTTTCTAATCAAATTGTTTGCAAAAGCAAGCTTCCATGAATCAAGATACCACTGTAGTGGGAGTGCCTGTAAAGAATGGCAGTGGGCATGTGCAGAAAAAGACACATGTGTTTGAGCCTATAGCCATGGAATCAGGCTTACATTATCACAGCCTGCTCTTGCAATAAGGAATCTAGCCCCAGGATGGCATTAATCCATCAATGAAGGTTCTGTCCCTGTGATTGAAATGCCTCTCAAAACCATGGTACTGGAGGCCAAGCCTCAGCATGAGTTTTGGTGGGAACAGACCATATTCAAATCATAGCAAGCATCTACTTAAAAGATAGCTGGAGAGACAGATAAATTATAAAATCTACAGGTGTCACATGCTAACTACCAGATAAAGATAAATAGACAATAAGTATTATAGCCAAACCTTGTCTTCAGAAATATATTTTCAATTTCTTAGGACTCTGAAAATTAATTTTTAAAATTTCAATACTATTGTAGCTACAGCAGCACAATTATTTTTCTTGGATCTGAATTAATTCCAAAAGAGCTTAAAAAGTACCGTGTAATATGCAGCTATTTCTATATGCCATCCATTAAGAAAATTAATTGAGTATGTTTTAAACCACTAGGTTTCTCTCTCACAAGTACCTCTCTGACCAAAGAGAGTCCAGAGAGAAGTGGATCTGATTGCAATTTTGGTTTAAGTACACTGCATACCAAATCAGCATCAAATTATTCAATCAGACACGCTTTGAAAATGCTAAAGAATTGGGCCTGTCAGTTTTCCTACCTGGATGCAATGTGCATAATACGGCAGAATTTTTTTTCACTTAGGTGGTGTTGGAGACAGGTATGGAGCCTATACAAAAGGCTTACTTGATACATAAGAGGACAGCCTGCCAGGCAGACAGAGGAGGACTGGCACTCATTAACTTTTCCTATCAGAAACTCACCTGGAATTGTTTTCACAGCCTCTTGGTGAGGCTTGGTTGTGAGGCCCCTGAGAAAGGAAAGGATCTTAGTTTCAGGAGAGGATAGCTACTCAAGTGCAGTGGAAGAAGCCTGGATCTGTGCCCTCTGGGATTTTAGCCACAGCTTTTGAGATTACAAGTCAAAGAGGAGATGAAAGTGAAGAGGGCTGACAAATGGTCTAGAAACAGACAGATCAAAAGGGTGACAACAGAGCAGGTCTGTTTTAGAAACATAGGTTAGGAACTAGCTTTTATTCAAAGCAGTCCCCTCCCCAATCTCATGTACCCCAAATTATCATGTATATATTTTAAAAACAGGCAGGGCTTATTCCTGTAAATCCCTGGGACTGCTGATGTTTCAGTGACCAGGATTCTTGTCGGCTTCTTAATCTTTGGGTCCTTGACCCGTATCTTTCCAGATCTTTGCGGCTCCCAACAGTCTGCGGCTGCAGTATTTTCTCTTTTTCTTCTGAGGGACTTCTGGAAAACTCAGAGTCTTTGAGCTCACTGCTTTAGCTCTCTTTCTGTCTTAAGGTATGGGATTTATAGCATCTTGCCCAGGCTTATCTACCCAGCCTGGATCTTTGGGAAGGAATGATGTTAGACCTTTCTTTGTGTACAGCCATCCTTAGTATATCTACAAAATTAAACTCCTATGATCCAAGCCAGCCATAAATTCTCTTACCCCCTCCCATTTCTGATACATTTCTCTTCTGTGAATGGATCTGTTGTTTGAACAGAACAAACATTTTGAATTATGTGATTACTTTCACCCCAAGTCTTGATGTCATACTATTCCTGTTTGATTTATTCTTGGAATATTTCTGGTTTTATTCCCTTCAGATCTGTACTTGCAAGATTTGGGAACAGATCAGAAAGGTCACTACTTCTATCTTTTACAGGACTACTGCTCCAGGATCAAGGCCTCCAGAGCAGCAGTTAACAATAATAAAGCTGCCAGAACAGCTACCAGCTGACATTTCCCCTGATGTCCTGCTGTGCCTCGCGTTGCACAGGTGACTTTGCACAGGAGCACCTGTAATGCAGGTTATAGAGGACCCTCTAGCCCTAGGCACAGACATGGGAATTTAGCCATGGGATTGGTGTCCTTTTATGCAGAAGAATGTAGATGCCTGAGCTTAGAGACTCAAGGTGAGTTAGATGATCACCTACTCTGAGCCCAGTAGCATGCAGATGACACATCAAAAGATCCCTTGTTGCAGAATGCTTCCAAGTGAGTGTCCCACTGCTTACTGTTTGAGTGAGGGGCTAGAAAAAGAAAGGCTCAATTAACTGTGACCAGGCTGTGGAAGTGAGGATGTCGAGATTTACGTGTAGTTCCTGACATGTACTATAATGCTTCCTTTGCATCAGACTGCACTGACCTTCTGGAAGAGACAATTTTGAGAAACATTTGACTAGTTGTTTGGTATTGTCAGCTAATTTGTGAGCTTGGTTCTGGATGAGGACAGAAGCTGGTATGCTCCCAGCTCCCAGATGGGTAGAGGCAGCACTGAGTAGGTTCCTCAGTCCCTACTCACATGGTCCCTACACTGTCAAGGAATTCCCGAACTTCATCCTGTGGCTTCTCACACCTCCTGCAGGACAGAATGTGCAGCTGCTGTCTCCATTGCTGTCCACTGAGCATCAGAATCAGAGCTCACCTTGTTGTCTCTCAATGGAAGGGGCTGCTTTGGACCTCCTGGACACTGAATCATGACTGTGACGTCTGGCTGTCTGTGCAACACACATCTTTATTACCTTTGCAATCGCAGGACCTCCTCATTATCTCTTGTTCCAATCACATCTGTGTAGCTATTTGAAGCTTATGGATGTAAAGCAGAGTATCATTTGTGACTCAGCCTCACATAAATACAGTGACATACAGACATTTATTTCTGAGATACTTAAAAGATTCATAAGCATCTGAAAGCTCTTTGACATTCTCTGAAACAATATTCTGTACTATTGGAAGGTCCTAGCATACACACTGAAAGCCAAGGTATGCATTTTTCCTTATTACCTTCACTTTTTATAAGTGGTTATGCTGACGTACATATTCCTAACAAAAAATATTTCTGATGAAATCAGGATAAATAATTGCACATATCATGAAGCAGAGAGAAAGACTCTGAATTGGTTTCCATGGAAATCTGAAGATGAAGTAAAGTAGTAATTTCAAGGCAGAGTGGCTGAATTGAAGATAATGGTAAAATAGTTTGATAAAGGAAACAGAATAAAGTAATCAAGGAGACTCCAATCAATTATTCCTTTTTGTTTACCTTGAGGTGATTAATTTGAGTGCATTTATTAACCTGATGAAATTAAATAGACTTTCCTTGTGATTTATTTTGTAATTGTTTCCAAGGTTTGACATAAGCTGTGGAGTTATTGAAGGTGGAGATAAATTCAATTACTCATGAAGCAGGTGGTGCTTCTCCTGGAAGAATATCTGAATTCATGGCCTTCCCATGTAATATTATGAGTGAAAATTATTAAATCATCTGATAGTATCTCCCAAAGACTTTTCGAAGTCATTTGGCATCCATATAACCATATACTTTTGCACCTTCCAAACTGAACTTGTAACACAAAAATCCAATGGCAGGAAATTAGAGATTTTATGTTACAGACTAGTTATTTTCCTATCGTTTTTTGGCTCTAGAGCCTTTCTTGGGGGTTAGGCTGTGGTGCTATCATTTATAGAATCTACCAGCTCAAGCTTTGAATACATACAGGTAGTTTTCTTTGACCTTGAGGAGTGGTTACCACTGTCTTTATCTTTAAAAAGCACCATTGGATAAAATGCTAGAGAGAGAGAAAGAGAGAGAAATTTAAAATCTTTAAATGAAAAAAATGAAGTGACTAACTGCTTTTTGTCTCTGTGGTCCATATGTGTGTATATATATATATATTATATATATATATTTATAAATATATATATATAAATATATATATATATAAAATATATATATATATATTTTTTTCTGTTCTTTCTGTGGGTATAGTAAGGATAGACGAGGTTCTCCAAACAGTAACCCAGGCGCCAACTCTCCATCCACAAAGGTCCGGAACACATCTAAGAGTGGGAAGTAAGTGAAAATTGCTCATGTGTGTCTGACATAATCATGAAGCCATGTGCTATCCTCATTTTGTCATTCATTCATATCCATTCAGTAAACGTGTGGGATACCTTCTGTGTGCCTTATACTGGGCTGGTCACTAAGGAATTGAAACAAGTAATACATGTGTCAGTAATATTGTGTATATGAAGGACTAAATAAGGAGGAAGGGAAGGAGGGAGGAAGAGGAAAGTCAAGGGATGACTTTGGAAAGATAGCTTAGGGGATCGCTTCTCGGCCTTTTGGCTAAGATCAAGTGTAGATAGCTTAGGGAACTTGAAGGGCACAAACATCAGCTCAGAAAGGCAGGGCAAGATTTGGACTATGAGTTTGAAAAATTAAAGAAACAGTACAAGTTAATTATTTTATGACTGGTAAAATCCATGAAAAGCTGTCTTCCATTCATGCATTGAGATTTAGGCTTCAGTTAGAAGAATCTGGAAAGCCATTCCATAAATTTCTAGGTTTAAATACATTTACATTTTTACCATATCACTGATTTACATGGCATGCATATTCTTTCCCTAGTAACTAGTATGTACCATGTTCTATACGACACTATCTTTTTGGTATTGCTGAAACTTTTATTGGATGAATATTTGCCATAGTAGATTTGTGTCTTTGAGCTTTTTCCAGAAAATGACATTGGCTGATCTCTCCTTTTGGATTCAGCAGAGCATGGCAATCTGAAGCAGCATGTTCTCATGCAGATGATACCTCTAGCTAGGCACTTCCCCTTCAAAGTAGCAGCAGTCCTCTTGTAAATGACTCAGGTTCTCTGTGAGCTCTCTGTCCCCGGGGTGTGGGGCTCTGTGCCAGGCAGAAGCACACCCCGCCTCCATCTAGGAGAAGATGAAAGATGCCTTCATCATGCTAAAAGCTCTAATCGAGCAATACGATATGTCACTACAAAAGCGCTGCTTTGCAAAGAAAAGTGAATTTGTAATGGTCATATATTTTATGTATTCAGCATTGGACCATAAATGCTGCACTTTGAACATGATCTAATAATCAATTCCCAAAGTGAAAGATCTATTGGCTGCCTTTTTTTTTCTTTTCCTCCTCCTCCTGAATATAATTTCAGGTTTGCATATAAAGTTGAATGTGGGCTGTTTTGGAGAATAGGAAAAGTGGTGGTGAAGACATAAGACTAAATTTCTGAGTAGTTAGAACTTGTTTCAGTTATTTATTGCTGAGCACCACAATCAAAATGCTGTATAAATTATGAAGGAAGAGAATTGATCCTCACAATCCCAAGGAGCTGAAGGTTTTGAAATTAGTCCCAATTTACCGTGAATGCACACTCTTGGTTCCCAGAGATGATGTTGGACAGCAGCTTTTTAATGGCATGCATGTGGAAATGACAGTTCCTGTTGGGTACCTTGTGCCTACCTGTCACATCGACAGCTACAGGGTTCAACCTCCATTCATTAGGTCATGATATACAATTATGGAGGTTTGTGATTTGCTCTTGGATTTCATAGGTGTTCTTTTTTTTGGTACCAGGGATTGAACTCGGGTCCTTGCACTTTCGAGGCAGTCAGTGGAACCATTGAGCTAAATCCCTGGCCCTGCTCTTGGATTTCAAAAGGTGTATTGTTTTGTTTCGTTGGGCTTTGCAGGAATCCCATTTTTTACCTTTAAAGTGAAGAATCTCAATGTGAGCCACAAAAGGAGCAATTGGTACTCTCTGAGTTAAGATGACATAGAGAATGCATATCTCACATTGTATCCAGGTTGTTCACTGTAGGAGGCCTGAATAAATACATTTTTAAGTTGATGCCATGATCTTATATCACACTGGCTATATTTGGACACATCCAAGCTTCTGCCACAGCGAGGGCCTCCTTCACACATTCTGAACTAAGTGTCTTTTATTTGCGATGTATAGTGGTGACTCACGGATTGAGGTAGTTGTTTTTAATTCTTCATGATTTTGGTTAAACATTTTCCAGTATCCTCTTTGTGGATGTGTGTGCCAGATTCCCTTGTATTCTGCCCGTCCCCTCACCTCCCCTTGGTTTTCAGGATGCGTTTTCTTTTGTGGCTGCTATTCTGTCACAGCATAGTTTCTGTTTCTCAGGATATCTTTGTCATCAGCAGCAGTACTGACCTTCCATGGCTACAGTGAGACTATTGGGGGCATTTCTTCACACTTCACAGTATAGGCACTGTGTTAATATATAGTTCAGAGAAAGTTGTTATATATGATTAATTCCTGCTGCATTGTCAGTGCCCATCTTTGGTGTTGATGTGTGCAGTGGTAAGCATGGAGGGTACCATTCTGCCAGGCTTTCTGATGTGATTTGACCTACTGACAGCGGGCTACAAAGCAGACTGTAAGAGTTTCTCTGTGCTATTTGGAGGCAAGATACAGATTGGGAGATAGAAGTTTTCTTCTTTGAAAGGAAATTGGGTCTTTATTTCATTGAGAAAACAAAACAAAATACACAAGTCAAGCTGCCTCAAGTATGTTCCGTGGCTAAAAGTATTGACAACTAATATGTTTTGAGTGAGTGACAACTTGTGCACTGAGCACTTAGTACATCACCCACAAAAAGCTCATGAAATGAGTGCTTTATTTCACATATGAAGAAATTGAGACTCAGAAAAGATAATAGTGTTTCCATCTGGGGGGTATCTAAATGAACATTTTGATAAAAACCTTCTTTAGCACCAATAATAGTAATAATAATAAATATATATTGAGCAACTACTTTATGCCACTGTGCCAGATAGATAAATATAAAGATACAATAGATACAGATACAAAAACAGATAAATATAAGGTTCAGTAGGTACCCTCAAGGGGCTCACAGTTTTAAGAAGGGAGACAGGGCTGGGGATTTAGCTCAGTGGTTTCACCACCTGCCCCGTACGTGCAAGGACCCGAGTTCGATCCCTGGTACCAAAACAAAAAAAAAACAAAAAAAAAAAAAGGAAGAAGAAGAAGGGAGACAGAGGATGATGACATGGCATTGGAGCCACAATAGTCACCTGTAACTAGTGACGGTGTTAGAGTGAGGCAGAGGTCATGTGGAGTATCAGTGAAAGTGTCTGAGAAATGACTTCTAAACCCTTCTATCTTTTCCATTTAGCCCTCAGGTACCAAGGCTAGGTCAAAGGAGGAAAATTCAAGGTGGTCACATAAATGGGCAGAATCCTCTGCATATTGCTCAGAACAAGTTGAAGCAGCGGGTTAGGTCAAAGCTAAATGTGAATGGCCAATTCCACCTTTTTCTGAAATTCAGTCCACTTGGAGCCGACAGCGAGATTCAGTGTAGCATGCTGAGTAGCTCAGGAAACATACAGCTTGGAAGTGATGTCAGTTCTGCTTGCTCTGTTTCATTGCCTGGATCTGAAGCTGGGGAGCCAACCCTGTGTTTCAGGGAAGAACAGATGGAATGCGATGTGGCTAAGCACCAGCGCCAGACTTCACTGGCAGTGACTTTTGGGGAGGTGCAAGCAGTTTCTTCTGTGTTGATGGTGAGCCAAATTGACACCACAGGAAAAAAAACTCAGTGCAGAGCCATAGCACGGACATCAGGAAGCAGAGAGATGTCTTGTGGAGGTGTTGCAAGGGTGGTCCATGGCTGTCCAGGCCAGGCCACTGTGCTGAGCCTCACATAGGGTCCCCATTAGTGACGTGAACCCATTACTCTGGCTAACACGGTGGGCCACAGTCAAGCCATTTACTCACCCAGAGGATCATCTGCAGATAGCACTGAAACTGCCAAGACTGCACATGTGTAGTTGCCGCAGAGAGCCTTTAAAGTGTTCATTTTGTATCAAAATATTTTCATAATTTACATGAGACCAATTCTTTTGCTGAACAGATAAGGACACTAAGACTCAAGAAGGGTAAATCATTTTCCCAGAGCCACATATCGAGTTCCTAGTGGAGAGCAGCTGAGAATCCTGATCTTGTAATACTTGTCCAAGCTCTTTGTACAATAGCACATATTACAGTTGTTCTCCTAGGGAACAACATACTTCAGCTAATCACAACCAAAGGAGGCCAAGAGGCATGATGTTTGTCTGGATAGGCTCTGACAGCCATTGTTAAAATAAAGACTTTGGAGAGATTAGAATCATCCCACTTTTTAAAAATGTGCAATAGTAGCAATCACTAAATGAGCACTTCTCAAATGTTTCATTTTCTCTAAAATAATACGATTCTGTTTGTGTTCCTAGTCACCCTTTCTCAATATTATTGTGGAGCAATTTTGGAGCTGTAATGAAGCCTTTCACCATTGAAGTCATAAAGATAACGCATAGATCGCAAGAGCTATATTCTCCCTCAAATCAGCCAACCAAGGCTGAAGATATGCACTACATCTATATAGAGATATAGCTAGACAAACACATATGTACAGATGCTCCTCAGCTTATGATAGGATTATGTCCTGATAGACTCATTGTAAGCTGAAATATTATAAATGCATTTAATTCACCTAACTTAAGATACCTAATATTACACATATTATAAAATTTATAATATATAAATTATATATGTATATTCAGAAGTATCCATTTGAAATTTTGAGTGCAGGCAGTTGAGATGATGGTGGGAATCATTCACGCATCTCAGCCTGAGACCTTTGAGATAGGCTCAGGCTACGGAATAGCAAGGACCAAGTCCAGTTTTCAAATATTAGTGGATTCCATAAATGTTATAGGGCCAGGGCAGAGCACCCAGGCACAGTGCTGGTGAGTGATACCATAAATGTTAACTTCAGTACTGTAAATATTGACCTAAGTGAATTAAACCAGGGGATAGCAGAGATACTAAACTGAAGGAAAAGGTGTACAAAGGGGGAGTGATGAGATGACCAAGTAAATTCTTGTTCACTTCCACAAATCCCCCTGGGGATTACCCCAGTATGAGATGCCGCAGGGAGACTGGCTCCAACATGTCTTTAGTGAAAATGTCTCACAGCCCACAGACCACTTTATCTATTGAGTCTCTA